CAACATTACAACAATACAACAAATCTGCAGTTGTATATGCAATTGATTGCATAAGGCACCTAGCCATTTTGCAGATCCACAATTAATATTGTTGGGCACAGTAAAAAAAAAAAAAATGGGCCAAATGAAATCTGCAGCTCACAGTGTTATGCCATGCACTCAGCTCAGTAGCTGATTAATGGAACTATATTCTTTCAGTCCAAATTTGGGGAAAAAACCAATGGCTAATCCTAGCCAGAAGCAAATATGTATCCCTAACTAAAAATGGTCAGCTTGTCTGTCTGCCATATTGGACTAGTAGCAACACACAATCAGTGTTTGACAGCAAATGCATGAAGGAGAGGGCATGACTGACAAATATATTCTGCTGTAAACTTATAAGTATAAATATTAAGCATACTGTACAATTTATTACCTGGAATATTTGGCTGTACCTCATCAGATATATACTACATAATTTACAACAATTTACACTGAAATACACTCGAAAGATTAAAGAAAAAAAAAATTTGACACAATTTTCTTGCTTAGGTATGTGTTGATTGAGGTAAATTCTGCAGTATGTGTGCCTAATGAGATAGAGTTAAAAATAAAATGTCAGCCATTAAATTGTGAAATATTTTGTTTATGTTCTCATAAATATTCATACCAGGAAAACATAACTTTGAACATGAGTATTAAGTTATTATTGTGAAGCGGCTGGCCGAGTGGTTACAACATTGGGTTTTCATGCCTGAGACCCAAGTACGACTCTTGGTAGGGTGATGGAGTTTTTCGGTCGGGGGGGGGGGGGGGGATTAAACATCCTATCCTGTACAGTCCGTAGCTACAGCACTAGCCAGGTGGCTCTAAATTCTCAGGCACAAGGCCCCGCTGTCTACACTGCCCTAAAAAAGAGGACACAAGACAGTAATTACAGTTCTTTTAATGCATATTTTTGCTTTTAAAACTTCAGATTGTATTGTCCCAGTCGACCTTGTTGTTGAGAACTTTGCTGCTATACTGCTACTGGATAACTTAGAAGCAGTGGACATTGCAAAGTTATTTGGTGAGCTTCTAGATGCAATGGAATACAGGGGAAAAGGCCATACATTCTGCATTAGAGGTTTGTAGAATATCAGTTGCACATCATTACATAAGGTTTTGAAGCTTTTTTAAAGAAGGGGGTTTGTGGGCCAAAAGATCACAAATTTGGAATGCATGTGTAATTTTTAAAGATGTGATCATTAATAATTTGAAGCAGTGGTTCTCAACCTATGGATCACAATCCTTTTGGAGTCCTATGACCCTTTCACGGGATCGCCTAAGACCATAGGAAAACACATATTCACTAAAGTTATGAGATACAACAAAAATACTTTTATGGTTTGAGGTCACCACAACATGAGGAAGTGCATTAAAGGGTCACGGCATTAGAAAGTTTATAAACCACTGATTTAAAGTAAGAATGATTAAACAATTAACGTAAGGCACTACATTTGTTTATTTAATGATAATTTATTTATGATAAGTTGAGCTAAGAACCGGCTCACAGCACTCGAGACATTTCCAGAAGTCTGTTACAATTACGACATTTATATGTTACAACTGGTTCTCACACTAGCAGAAAGCTGCATTGACCATCTTCACCTCCATTCTCAAACCAGATTTTGTGGTATTATACATTGGGCTTTTTTGAATTAAGAATCCTCTAAAAGTTAATGAGTAATGCTAATAATATTAATTGTCCTAATCATCCTTTAACTGTGTAGAATATTTAAACTATTACATTTTCACTTTTAAAAGGCTGGCATTGCCTTTGCATATGTTTCCTTTTTTTTCTCTCCTATTGTTGCTAAAATAAAAAAAAAATAATTCTATTAATTTCTCCTCCATAACTCTACAATCATTTTTCATTTTTTTTAAATCACCATCTGCTTTTTATAATTGTTCTTCTGCCTACTTATCTTAGTTGAGTTTATTCTACTCTTTAACTTTTATAAATGTTATGCATGATTTCAGGGGATAATAGCCTTGGTACTAATGGTGTGCATTACTTAGCTGATCATTTTTATGTCATTGGAACCATGAATAAATCTAGGTAAGAGCTATATATTATTTTTACTGTGACATTTTAAATGACATTAGTTAGTGCTTATGTAAAATATAATGTAGTTAGTGAAAACGTTAAGGGAACAAAAATTGGAGCCTAGGGAACAGTGAAGTAGAAAGAATAAATAGAGAAAGGGAAAGACAGAGGGATTTGTAATTGTATCAACATTTACAGTCAACATTTATTTTTCCCTGAAGGAAATAATGAAATGCTGGCTTTCATATTGTCATTTATTCCCAGTTGATCTCTTCTTCTTCAGTGTTTGGAGCATTTAAGATTCATTCAGTATTACTTGCCCCCATTCTTATCTATGATGGCCTTCTCTTTCCAGTTGGTAACTCTTAAGTGTTTGTAGGTATGTCTTCTTAGGCATAATCTTTCTGTTGTAACTGATGCATAATTTTAAAAGGAAGCATAGTGGCTAGATGCTCTGCCTCAGGCGTGAAAGTCTTAGGGTTGAATCCATACGGAGTGAGATATTTAAAAAAAAATGGCTTTGGCTCCCAGGTCGACCCAGCATTAAAAGATAAAGTCCTGGGAAGTAACAGCAGCCAGTATACATGTTGACCACATCAACCAGAGAGAGCCATAGGGTCTGTACACATATGAGACTAGCATCATATGCCTCATGTGACACTGGCAGGGTCTTTAAAAATGTTTCAAACTAGGTGGATTATGTCTTATCTTCTCACTCTAAACATTAACTCTTTGAGTCCCAGAGGGTTTAGCATCCCAGGCCCAAGGGGTAGTAAGGAGAGATGTAAAATCAGCGCATCTTGCGTTTACTGGGCTTCTAGGTAGGAACCTATGAATGTATGATGTGCTCCTTGGGACTCAAAGAGTTAAGATATGGCTGTGGAAGCCTTGGTTTGTTTTTCAGTGCTGGACATGGTGCCCTGGTGTAGTGTCATATCCATACTTGTTTAGAACACCCATGACTTTGCTTCTTAAGCTGTCCGCACTGGTGGCAGAGCACTTATGGTTTATTACTGTGGGCAATGATGCTGGTTCACATCTTCCGACTTTACTTTTTACCCTTTTATGTTTCTTTGCCTCCCACTGTTTCTGTTTCCTTCTTTTGTGTGTGTGGTCTTTTACTACTAACAGTTTATAATTTGACTAATGTACAAGTGACAGCCCTGCTGTCTGCCTTACATATTCATATATAGGTCATGTCTGACATGTAAGTATTGCTAAGCTTATACACTAACCGTGGTTTGCACTAACTATTTAAAAGCGTATAAGCGCCTTTAAGCGAATAGGGCATATAGGGCTAGATCTTTATTTTATAGACCAATTGGCACAAGATGGGTGGTTTGGTCCGCATCACACCGGCCGCCTTTACTTCCTGGGACTGCACCCAGTACCAACTCAAGGCTGGGTCGACCTGAGAGCCAAGGTCATTTTTGAAAAAAGTCTGGCTCCACCAGGAAGCAAACCCACGACCTTCCGATCCGCACTAACTATTATGTTACAGTAAAACCTCGTTAATACATATCAAGGTACTGCAAATCAAGTTTGGGTTAAACGAAAACTTTGTACTGATTGGGGAATTATAATAATTATACGTATGTACTGGTCGCCAATATGCATTTACCAACAATATATTTTTACAATAAATGTTTTCAATAGGTCTCTAGGAGTTGATCTGTCAATATTGCCACGATTCAGATGGGTTCAGTTTCGACTGGATACAGAACCATTACGAGGACTGCTTGCCAGACACTTCCTGCGACGTATTTTCAACGTATATCATGGGTGCATGCCTTCACCTGAAGATCCTGTGTTTCGAGCTGTTGAGTGGATAGTGTGTGTTTGGCAAAGGTTAAATGACAGCCTAAATAAACTAGGCATACCAGAGGTAGTTCAAGGGCCATGCATGTTTTTCAAATGTCCTTTGGAAAGACAAGATCATAAGCTTATTTTAGAGTAAGTGATTTTTTTTCACCCTCCTAGAAATAACGCCATAAGCGTTCTGTTAATGGAAAACCATGCCAGTTTTTTAAAGAGGTTTTGAGGTATAAGTTGTATATAGTATTTCTGAATCTATACATCACTGATATTTCTTGGCCCATAGTGTGAATCATTTTTCTTGGGATAATATTAAATGTCTTAATCGTATTTTAATTATGTATAATTTTTTAACGAGAGATCATTGGTTGTGGAGACGCGTGAATGCCCACACCAACTGGCAAGGCACGATGATGATGACCATTCACAGTCAACACTGACACACTAATGTATTTTATAGACCAATCAGTACTTAGGTGGGTGATGTGGTTACCATCACGCTAGCTGTCTTTACTTCCCCAGAATGCACCTGGTACCCACTCAAGGCTGGGTCGACCTGGGGGGTCAAGGCTGGTACCGTCAGGACCCGAACCCATGACCTTCCAATTTGCAGAGGAGCGTCTAGCAACTCCGCCATTGGAACAGTGCTCATCATTAAATTAATTGAGAAACAAAGAATGAAATGGTTCAGCCAAATAATGAATCCTGTGATGCTTGCAGCGAGGGTACAACAGAAAAATAGAAACACCAAGAGGCAGAGGGAGACCTAGAGGAAAATAGATTGATGGAGTCACTCACAGTGTAGAGCTTCACAGTGTTATAGCATACTAAGCAACTAAGCTCACCATGGTCCAGCTGCCTATCATCTGTTAAACTACAGCACCTAGTGGCACAAAGCAGATATTGACAACAGAAATTTAAAAAACAAATGATTGTGAAATCTGCTCACTTACCTCTAAACTGCAAGGCCGCATATGGGTACCTATACCAGAAGATGTATGACCGTTAGTCAGATAGGTTCTTGTTATGGAACGGATTACAAATTATGGCAGCCATTTCTGATATTTATGAAAAGTTATTTCCACTTCTCATCCTTTTTTTTGGAGAATATATCTTTATGCATTGTGTATTAACTACTGTTTCTGGTTCATGAAAAAACCCAACAAAGTTCATGATCCCAACCCCAACTGGTATGCCCAAAATTCTCTACCCACACTGTGGGTATCTGTAGCTCAATTGTTGCAAACACGCTTCCAAATGTCGGGGTGCCAGATTCAATCTCAGCTGCGGACAGTTTGTCTAACATTGGTTTCGACAGTGGAACCGAGAGCTGACCGTTAAGAAAGCAACGGTAAATTACTGAATGTAAAATTTGCTTAGAAAAACCACAGCAGCCCAAAAATGCTGGTGTTGGTTCTGCAACATCCTGTAAAGGATTTGCAACTAGCTTTTAACACTGCCCAAGAAATTTCCATGCCAAGATTGACCTTCTCACCCAACGTTGAAAAAGAAAAAATTAAAGGACCATTTTCATGCCAGTAGTCATTGGGTATATGGTGCCAGACCCAATTGCCATCGGATGCTGGAGTTCATAATTGAGGAGAGTCTGAGCACCTATGGATATGTCCAGAGTGCAATGATGATATTCCAACTAACTAACTAATGGTGCCGAACCTATTTGTTTTTAAAGACAAATCAGCGTTCAATGGATGACGTGGTCAACACTGTGTCGGCCACTTTTACTTCTACATAGATTTCCTCATACCAGTTTGAGGCTGAGTCAGCCATTAATTCAGCAGATGCATTCTGCAGAATTGAATTAGATGAAGCAAGTAGTAGAATTTTAAAAATTTAAATGTGGACACATACTGCACTCAAATTTCACAATATATTTGGAAACTTGTTCTTTCTCTAGATGGATGCAGAACACATGGAACCAGCAGATTGCTCCACGTGTGAGAGAAGCTGTCAAGCGAGGCACTGGATCTGAGGCCCCTTCAGATGGCCAACAGAAAGTGGCAAACACAGCGTTGTATGTGCTGATGCAACGTTCTGTAAATCTTAGTTGTCCTTTATCAGGGCAAGGTAATAATCTTACTGTAATTAATTCATTTCTTGTGTGCATTTTTAAAAATTTTGTTTTTAGCTAACTGATTGTTTTATAGTTTCTATTAAACAAGTTTACAAATAAAGTAGTTAGTGGCTGTGGGGTTAGAATACTAGCCGTACATCTCAGGATACACTGGTTCTGATCCACAGTAAGGTGTGTAATTTTTTTTTAATGTAGTGGGTATAAAATACAATTATAGTCATTAATATTCGGTATGTGCTAGTGTTTGCTCGACAGAAGTCAAATACCTCTTGAAATACACCAGAATAAACACCATGCTGGTTGTTACGAATTAAGTAATTACACTGTTGGAGGACCATTTAAACCCAGCACTTGCAGTGTTCATGGATAAATGCACTAACCACTTTATCACTAGAGCATAAATTTGGTAACAAGTGTTGCTAAATATATGATGATTGTCTTCGGGTCCTCCTAGTAGCCACATTTGCCAGCCATATATCTGAGAAAATTATATTAAAGAGAGAGACCTCAGCTGAAAGGAAAAAAGAAATATATATATATACAAAGAGGAATGTTAGAAAAAAAGATAGACCTGATATGAAAGAATATTTAATGTTGACTACTGTTGGTAGGAGAACTTCCATATATATGTATAATTTTTTGCCCATCTGTTTTCACTTCCTTTTATTGTTAAACCTTTTTTTAAACACCTTATTTCATTTTTGTACTTAAGTGTGATGTTTGAATTAAGCTGGATTGTGGTATTTCTTTTGCCAACTCATTTTGCCTGTTTTCTCTTTTTTTGTTTTTGTTTTTTTGTAAACTTGTCAGAAATTTCTTTGGTCACAACATACAGTTGTATTTTCTGTGTTTCTTGTTTATTGTGTCCTCTTGTCAGGTTTCATGTTTATTCACTCATCATAGCATTATTTGAAAAAAAAAGTGCATCTAATAATAAGGTGATGTCTATTTTCGTCCATTTTAGGACACAATTTTTTTTCATTTGAAGCCCCACCCTGGCTTTTGCCAGGGGCCGCAATATAGGCAGGTCATACATATGGCCAATTGTCTGAACGCAGTTTCTGGGACCTCTCCACGGCGATCCTCATCCACATGGTGGCACTTTGTGTCATCGGGTGTTTATCGCTTGTGTGATGTCCTAGTGGGGTAGAAAGTCAGTCAGTCTGTCAAAAAAAAGTTTTTTGACTTTATAAGGTTGCAGAAAATTTTATTTATTACACTGATGTCACTTAGTAAGTCTGTTTTTATTCTGTTAAATACCTCTCAAATGAGCCCTAAAGTCAGTCATGGCCACTGTTGAAGAAACAAGTCAATATTCTGAAGACTCTTGCCACCTACAGAGAAATATGTTGTAACAGTTAAGAAATTACTTTTGTTACTAAGAAGATTAGTAATGTTCAGTTACTTAAAAAATATTACTCATTTTAAATTCTCCTGCAGATTACACGACTTGGGTCAGGTCTCACACTGTTTGAGATCTTCTGACACAATTTATGCAGTTCTCTCTGTCCACAGACTGAATTCCCAGTTTAGTCAATGTTTTAGAGATTGCCATAACAATCTATGTAAATTCCTTGTACTGTTCTTGCTCACCCCGCAGGTTTCTGAACATGGAGAGAGGAGAAAGAAGAATATCAAAGGTTTAAAAAAAAAAAAAGTTAAGGACCATTTTCATGCAAATAATGGTGCCATACCCATATTTTTTATATACAAATTGACTTTCAGTGGCTGATGCGATCAACACTATGTCAGCCATTTTAGATGATACTTCAGTACAAGGATGAGAGAAAAATCTTTACACCAACATCACTCTGATAGATTGTTGTTGTTGAAATATCCGGAAACCATGAGTTGTCAACCCTTTGGCTCGGTACTATGGATATCGCAACCCTTCGACCTTGATTCCATGATAGGTACCGTAAATCTGGGAGAAAATGTGGCTTTTCTGCCTACCCTTGGGAGTGAACCCGGACCACAAGGAGTTCGTCACCTGGTCACCGCGCAGTCCGGTTTAGCCAACTACGCTAGAGAGCCGGGCCACTCTGATAGATAGAAGCTGTTTGTTTTAGTTTTATCATCATCAGTAAGCATATCCTTTACATAATGTCGCTGTTGTCATGACACGTCTGAAAGTATCTCTTTCTCTAGCCCTGTGTGCTTTCATAGCCAATGCATCCTCAGTATCCTGTATCCGCTATCCACCATCGCTGAGGTCGGCCTCTGCCTCTTTTCTGGAAATTACACCCTCCATCAGCACTCTCTTCAGGCCACCTAATGTTTAACATTGCCAGGATACCTCAGCTTTCAGATCAGTATGCTGTTTAACAGCCAATTCTACTCAATGCTCAGACTGTGTATGATGTTGGTATTTTTCTTCTTCTTGGTCCACAGTATTCTAAGAATTGTTGTGTTTTAGCGCTTAGAGAACCTGAATATCAAAGCATTGAACTTCTAACAGTCATAGTCTTCAGGGCAATTCACCACCAGTCAGGCAAAGCCTACTACAATATATAATGAGACAACTATCCTGTCTGGAAGTAGCACAACCAAATCTTGTTCTTTGCATTCACCGGCTGTAAGCTGTCGAAAGTTCTGGCTGTTTGTTAACCGCTAGACTTTAGTCTGGTTCCAGAAACGGAGTGTGTTGCAAACACTTGAGTTTTACTAGATCTAGCTTATTTAAATGCAGACTGTTGGTTCCTTGCCTGTCAGGCAGGTGCACTCTGACACTAAAGGAAACCATTAATTAGTTGACTCTTACGAGATACTTGTTGGGGAGCACTAGGTCTATTCTTGTTTTCCCCCACAATCAGGCCCTGAACCTGCATAAGGAGTGCAACTAAATCCAGAATTGATCTCTTTTGACAGAAAAGGATGCCTATTTTTCTGGGTTCTCTGGATCCAATGAACTAGATATTTCACTAAAGTCCCGGGAGAGCAGGCCAAGAGGAACACCATCAACAGGGTTAAACTCGCCTCGAAGCAGTGATCAGCAGCGACGACCAAATTCAGTCGAATCATCTCCAAGACACAGTCACAGCTGGACACACGAGAGGGAGAATTTTCCAAATTCGCCCTCATCTGGTTTTGCAGTCATAACAGGCAATAGAAATGGGTATGTTATTTAGAAATGTCATTGTTAAAGAACAAATAATGTTTTCCTGTAATGAATTTAAATAATGGGGACACAAACAATACATTGCACAATATGAAATTACCCTGGTAAGTGACGTGACTATGGTGAGCTTCTGGCGGCCATAAAACACACACAATGTATCGGAAGAAACTTTTCACATTTCAGTTGGATTTATTCAGTTTTGTGCTTTATTTTATGTTGATGTAACTCTGTAATAACTCACCTGACGAGATACAGCGAAATATGCCTGGCAATAAATTGTGCAATGTATTGTTTGTGTCTGCATTATTTAAAGAACAAATAGTTACATATTAAGATAAGATTAAAAGGCAAATAGACTTAGAAAATGGAAGAAAAGCAACTCTGTAATAACATAGCAGTATCTTACAGTAAGGCAATAGTCCAACACAGCCACTATAAAAGATTTAAAAAAAAAAAAAAACGCACATCCAGAAAACCGCAAGAAAACCAACCTATAACATGACCTTCACAGAAAAAGAAAAGAAAAAAATTCAATAATCTTCTTCTTTGCATTCACTGGCAGTACACTCTGGCAGAAATTCTGGTTGTTTGTCCACTTCTGGATTTGAGTCTTGTTTTAGAACATGAGCTTTGCATGCAAATCCATTTCACATATCAGACTTTTGGTTACTCATTTCTCAGGCAGATGCACTCTGACTTTGAAGGAAACACTGGGAAGTGAAGACAGACAGACAGTGTAATATCGACTGTGTCATCCATGGAATGCAGATTGTTCTTTAAAAAATATGAGGCCAGTGTCAATACACTTTGTGGAAACAAGGTCATTCTTTTTTTTTAAATTACTGTTTCTTTCAGATATGATATGGTATAATAATTTTTGTGTGTACACTTTAAAAAAAAAACTCCACTTCCTGAGAGGCAAGGAACCAACAGTCTACATACAAGTAAGTCAGATCTGTATAACTGAGGTGCACACAAAACTCAAGACTACAGTCCAGATGTGACACACACACACACACAAAAAACCAAAAACATAGCTTTCTGCTGGAGTTTAGAGCCAGTGAATGCAAGAAGAAGAAGATTAAACATTAAATTCAAAATGCTAAAGGTATTGTTAATATATTTTTCTCTTGCAGCAAAGAAGAGAATCACATAGATACTGGAGTGATGACATCAAACATCAAACGAAGAAGTTTATCAGATTCAAGTGTCAACAAAGCAGCACAAGATCAGCAGCAACAGTACTTGGACAGAATTCAGAGTCCAACATCATCACACGCAAAAATGGCCAAATTGGAAGTCAAATCTCCCAAAATAGTCAGTATTGTCTCAGCATTTCACAGCCCATCGTTGTGTCCAGTATTAGTACCAGAAACATCTCCGTCATCAGTGGCTTTGAAAAAAACTGGACGCGTCAGTCCTTTGTTAACCCTGGTTGCCAATAGTCCACATATCAATCAGAAAAAGTCCAGATCATCAGAGAATATATCAAGTGGTAATGTATATGGGGCATCGGGCAGACTTCGTTCTCCAGGTCCTTTCTCGTTTTCTTTAGCCACACCAACATCAGGGCTCAGTTCGTTCAAGTTCATGGATGCGACTACTCAAGAAGGAGATGTGTCATTAACTGCACAAATGCCTGATTTTAGTGTGTTTGAGAAAGTTTCAACACCTACCGAAGAATTTCCCCCAAATCGTAGTTTTGTGTTTGTGGGGAGATCAGATTTAAACGGACGCACATGCCAGGATTTGGATGACAAGATAAAGAAGGAGGAAGATGAAGTTTGGAGTAAGAGACACGATGTATTTAAGCCTATTTGTAGATCAAGTGAAGTGGACCAAGGAGTTTTGGAATCTGAAACCTGATTTATTAGCCGATTTCAATCGTCATCATGTGCCTTGCCAGATTGCATAGGTATTCATTTCTCTCCACAGGTCGCAGTTTCTGGTGTTCTGGATAAGTTTGTCTTTTTGTACTTCTGCATGTTTCCTTGTTAGGGCCATTGGCATGTTATTTTATGGTTTACAGCTGTGAAATCTGCCTTTCAACCCAACAAGTCAGGCTTCTGCAAATCCTGAATTGGTCGCCATTTACAAATACTTTTTAACTCTTTGAGTCCCAGGAGGTTTAGCATCACAAGCCCAAGGGGGGGTAGTCAAGAAAGACATAAAATCAGCGCATCTTGCGTTCATTGGGCTTCTAGGTAAGAATCTATGAACGTATGATGCGTTTCTTGGGACTCAAAGAGTTGAGGAGCAGTTGGCCTACTATTCCCCCTCTCCCCCTTTCCTCCCCCAAATGGGGCTTCAGAAGCCACACGAGGAGGATCATTTTAATGATAATATTTCTCCATGTCATCATCTTAGACCATGCAATATTATTGTTGTTGTTGGTCTGTCGCTTTCACCATCATTCTCTTCTGTCATAATTTTTTCCAGTGCCTTTCCTTTCATCTTGTGACCAAAGAACAGTATTTGCACTGTTTGTTTCTGTTATACAATTATATTTTAATACAAATAAGAAGATTATGCTTTGAAGGTCCTTAACTATTACTGAACATTTTGTACTCAAACGTTTCTATAAAGGGCGGATGTTTCGTAGTTGGCTTAAGGATGTCAGGTTGACCCAGGCTGATAATGATTATCAGGAAATGTCCTGGGAAGTAAAAGTGACTGGTTTAATTTGATCACATGACCTGTCAAGAGCCGATAAGTCTGTAAAAATATTAGTCTAGCATCATATGACAGATCAGACACATTTCACAAGAACTGATCCGTTAAAAATATGTTGTTTTATCAGTAAGATTTGAATATGGGTACGAGAAAAAAAAAATTTTTTTTAACAAGTTTTCCTTTCCAGAATTACAGCCTGAGATCAACATTCAGTGACTCAGAAAGCCACTATTCGGACTTATACTGCAGGAGCAAATCACAGAAACCCATTCAACTGTATAAAACAGCTGTACCAGGGCACCCATTAATTATGTGGTCATCTGCTGTAGAAAGTGTTTAGAGTAGTTAAGTAGGTAGCTAGTATGTTCCTTCTAGGATTACAGTCTGCAGGATTAATAACTCAGGGTTGAGAATCTTACATTTACAAATCCTGGAAACCTTGTTCAACTGCCCAACAGTTATATCACCCCTCACCCTATCAAAACATGAAGTCTGGACAGGGTGGTAACATGGTAGCTGTTTTGTCACCTGCCTGCTTTTAATGTAATGCTTATAGTACGAATAATAAGGAAGTGAAAAAAGGCATGCTTTGTGTAGAATGGCAAGCATCTCTTCAGAGGTCCCGGGTAGTTAGCATCCTTTAGATATTTTCTCTAGGTCATGCCGGTGTGTTGGGAAATGAGCAGATAGATGGCTGGCTCTAAACCACTTGGTGGTGAATTGATGTATGACAAGTTAGATATTGTGAGGGCCCTTTGAGAGTGAATGAACAGTGCGGAGGCGCAGATAGATCATTACGGTCTAAGGAGAATGGCGCTGCAAGGAGTTCCCAGGTGATCTGGCCGACCTCAACACTCGGGGAATGGATGAGACAGATATACAATTAGATGGTTACTGGCACCATCGGAATTGGAACTCTTCGCTTGTTGCTGTTGAGCACTTATGGAAGTTTAAAAAAAAAATGATCCAATTTTCACATAATAATGTTACTTTTGCGATGATGGTGATTTTTAGTGTTGAATGTTGTTTAACGTTTTGTTCTTAGAAAAGTGAGCTGTGAAAAATGTTTACATTGCAGGTGTGTTCATGAAATTCACTGGTGAATCTCTTTTCTTCAACATATCATAAATCAGGAAATTCAAATCTATGATTAGTTTTTATTTAGTGGTGATGTTTTTGTGCAAATGGTAGCTGCCGCAACTGATAAATGCTTTTTTGTTCTGTTGACAGAGATACTCAGGATATGTTCAGGGAGAAATGTGAAAATGTGTTTCACAGAAATATTGTACATAATGTTCTAGAGTAAAGTTCAAGATTTTCACTTTGTGCTCTGCTGAAATATTTAACTACTGTATCCATTGTTAGTTTTTTTTCGTTTTTTTTTTTCTATTTCACATGTTTTCTTTTTCTCTGTTTATATTTATTAATTTAATTTCATTCTGCATTGTCTTCCCTTGCTGACTTTGAAAAATTCTTATTTACTTTTATTTTGTGGGCATATTTATGTATTGGGTGTAATTTTGCCACTTTACATTCTTATAAAGTATGGTTTTGCATTCACATTTGCTGCCTTCACAACTTCATTGATCATTTAAAAAATGTTTTTTTGCCATATTTTGTTTGTTTTAATGATCGGGTCCTTTTTATTACTGTTGCTTGCCTGGGGTTTTTCCTGGGCTGAGGAAGATGGACTGCTTGCCTAAGCAACCACCATGATATGTACTAAGATTTAGAAAAACAATTATTTTTTTTAGCTTAACTAAGTATCAAATACACATCCTGTGATTTGTGAGAATTGTATAGTGGCTTCTATGTTCATTTCATGCTTATTCAGTAGTTGTATGTATACTTCACAGGTTTTGTTGTAATTGTTGTCAGTACAGTGGTACCTCAGTATAATTACTTAATCCCTTTCCTGATCCTTCGACATATACCTATCTTGAGTGAGCCAAATACCAGAGCACTGTGTATTGGCTCTGCATTTATGGAAGCCTCCAAAGATGGCAAGGAATTTTCATGTTCTGTTCTTGCCTTCTCTTGAGGGCTGACCAGCATAACATGGCTTCTCTGAACCAGCCTAATGAGGGGGGCACCGCCTGTGACCAAGGCAGCAAAGATAACCAGACAGCATTGAGACAGCAGTGTTCCATAAAACAAACCAAGAAGGCTGGTTGGCATCTTTCTGTTTTCCCAGATGATAATGTTATACTGCGCTATGAGGAGGCATGGGACTCACATCACATGGTGACTGGCAAGACCAATCTGCGTTAAGAAAAGTCTTCTACAATTATAGCATGGGATTTCAAGACCATTGTTGTCAACATTTGTGTTTAGTCTGTTTCTTCTGACACGCTCAGCTCTTATCCTTTCTGCAATCATTTCTTCTTATTCCCTTCCTGATGTGCCCCCTCCACACAACATGGTCCATGGCATTTTGTTCCCATGAGTACACCTCATTACCTGTATCATTCATGTACCGTTTGCACACATCTTTCTACCTGTCTTTATTTCACCATAAAAGATGTTTTTAGGGACTCTGTCATCCTCAATTCTCCAGGTGTGACCTAGCCACCAGGAAGATTAACCCGGGAATTAAATGCCTGCAGAAGTTGGTTGTGTCAGCCATAAGGCGCAGTTATCGCAGTCATGTTGTAAGCAGGCACTATGTATTTACATCTTTGGGTAAATGCAGAAAAAGTATTCCAGACAAAGGTTGTATACTTAGGACACGTTTTCACATCTAGGCAGTGCATATACCAAGTTAAGCATATGCCAAAGTGAATGTATACCGAGGTACCACTGTAGTTTCTGTACTGAGCCATCTGTATATATAAATACGTTCATTCAGCGACTGGAGTTATCATTAAAAAAAAACACATTGGTTGTTCATTTACTGTTCTGAAACATATCATATTAATTAATTACTTTACCTGCATAGAAGGTTTAGAATGTCTTTTTTTTTAAGGAACTACAAATCTGTTGCTTCCAGTATCGATGTGGTTTCTTGTTTAGTATCTACAACCTGTTTTATATATCACAACTGTCATTCCACATAAAATGTCAGTTTTCTTCTTTTTCTAATGAAAGGCTTACTATTTTAAGTAAACCTCCATTAAGAAAGAATATGACTAATTTATGTTAAGTCTCTGTTCTTTTATTCAGAGAATGGACTATTCTAATTTATGTTATTTAATTTGCTTGTTCAGTTTCGTTAGCATATTAAACACATCACAGTTGTCATTCCACATAATATATCAGTTATTTTCTTCAGTGAATGGACTTAATTATTCAGGTGTTTTTTCCCCCGTAATTTACTATTCTTGTCTTCAGAAATGAGACTTAATTAATAATTTAAATAAGCTTGTGTTATTTTCCACAGAGAAAGGATGTTTACTAATTTATATTTCATAAACAAAAGCACCTAGTTTATGTTCATATATTGTTACTGATTTAGTGTGTCTTGCCAAATAGCAGCTTTTCCATTGTTATACATGAACTGTATCTTTATACGAAGGAGCATCAACCGAGTCAGGCATGTGGAGAATGCTATTGATCACTGGCATCATGAGAGCTAATAGACTGAAATGGTTGGGGCATACTGAAAGGATGTCAGATGACAGAGATGTAAAAACTGTATACACAAGGGAGATGAATGGTCGTAGACCACGAGGCAAACCAAGAAGACGATGGAGAGATAATTTCTAGACAGACCTGCAAACACTTGGTGTCACCAACTGGAAAGAGAAGGCTAACCAGAAAGATGAGTGGAGGCGGGTGATATCTGCAGCAATGAACTTCAAGGGCTTAAAAAAGCTGAAGAAGAAGAGGAAGCATCAAATGAAAAGCTTAAAAGTGTGATAGAAATTACAGTAGCTATGCCATCAACTTGTTATCAGTCAGCACTGTAGTTAACCCTCTTAGCACGGACGGGCCGATTATCGGCCGGCGGATGTCTGGCCAAAAACACGGAACGGCCGATGATCGGCCCGATCGTGTTTCGCCTCGAACCGCTAAGAAATCTCCTACTTTGAAACACTGAAAGTGATTCATTTATATTAACTGCTGTATCAGCTTTACACATGGCGACTTTCGAGTGTTTGGTATCGAAGTGAAAATTGTTGTTGAATTTTTTAGATAGTGATCTGAACCGCTAAAAGTATGTCTGACTCGTATGTTTCTGCCCCTAAACTTGA